CTCTAGGTAACACCTCCACGCCCTCAAGGCTGTGACTATCGCTAAGGCTTCCTTGTCATGGATAGGGTAGTTCAGTTCTGCTCCGTGTAGCTTCTTACTCAGATAGGCGATGAGCTGCAAACCGCGTCCGTGATCCTGCATCTGCTCCGACTGCTTGGTCACTAGCGTCTGCTTCCACCACGTAGTCTCTGTCTGGATTCGGTAGGATGAGTACTGGCGCTGTAGTCAGTGCTGTCTGTAGCTGCTCCATGGCTTGCTGATGAGGAGTATCCCCTGTATCCGTCCACCTTCGCAGCTTCACACGTTTCCCGTTGTTGTAGATACACGCCTTCCGGTTGACCCAGTCGATCTCGGGGTTGAACCGCTTCAGAAAATCACGCCCCAAGATGAAATCTAATCCCTTGATGTTCGTGATCGGCAACGTCAGCTTCCACCTTAACGTTCCTATGTGCAGCTGCAGTGTTGACTCGCCGTGGATGGAAAGCTTCGTACCGTCCACCATCGTTGCTGTAAACTGGGTCTCTTCTGAGGATTCTTCAATTTTCTCCAACGTCCCGCGGTCGTACACCGAGTGGGACGCACCACTGTCCACCAGTGTCTGGAGGCGTCGTCCGTTGCAGATCACCTCGAGTACTAGTGGTTGTTGCTGCTCCGAGTAGCCGTAGATGGTATCGCTTATAGGATCGTAGGGTACGTCGAATATGTCATCCCTAGGTCCTGCGCTCGAAGATGCAGCTTCAATATCAGGTATCACCTGAGTAGGGTTAGAAGGATTTATCCGAGGCTGGTACAGCTTCTCTTGAGCCTGGAACCTTCCCCTAGGCCTTTGCAGCTGTGTAGGCTTCATCTGTGGGGAACAGGGAGCCTTTAAACAGAGCTGCTGGGAGAGAATATTAACTCCTCGGAACGCTCGACCCTTGTTAGCGCTCCGGAGTAGGGTCCCCATATTACCCGGTACCGGTTTAATTTCTGACTCTCCCTTAATAAAGGCTTGAAACCCACGAGAAGTAATATTCTTACTTGTCGGGGTGTACGGCTGGAGTTTCCCGGTCGGTGCAGGGTCTTGTTTCGCGGAGTCTCCATTTGTCTCAGCAATTTCCCCTGGTGCCGGCTGGTCGTGACGTTTTAAACTCGCGCCATCATATTCTCCTTTTTTCGCCCTCTCCGAAGTTGCCACGTTGTCCGTTTTCTGCTCTGGGGGTGCCGCACTGTTCTTGTATCTCAGCTCCGCACGCCTTCCCTTCATTTCCCAACACGCCAAGATACGATGTCCTGTAGCGCCGCAAAATTTGTACGTCTCAATTTTTGCTACTCACTTACCGTCGCTCTTAGCCACACCTTCCCTCACGCACTCAGCCACTCATTCACGCTCGCACTCAACCACGCATTCACCCTCGCACTCACCTTTGCAGTTAGCCTTGCACTCACTCACTCAGCCACGCATTCAACCACACACTCTGACTCGCACTCGCGCTCACACTCAACCACGCATTCACCCTCGCACTCACTCAATGCTCAACTTCTTACTCACCTATGCACTTACTCATGCACTCAGCAACGCACTCGCTCACGTAGAAGTTGTTGGAGTAGGCTAGAGCTCGCTCTGGCCTTTATTTTGGTGTTCTCTTATTATTTCCCCATGCTTAGAGCGAGTTACGCTTCCAGGTTCAATTTAGGTTCATTTCGTAGCTATAGCATAAACTGAACACGCCCTAAGTTCAATTAGGGTTTCCAATTCCCTTATAGACTTGTATCTCGACACTCTTTCCTAGAACAATTTCTCTCGCTACTTTCTCTCTCCCTAGCCATGGCTACCACATTCTCAACTTTAACATGGTATCTAGAGTCAAATTCTTGGTGTTTTGTCCTAATCCATATCTCTTAGTACGGTTTAGGCCTTAGGCATCCGGCACGCTACTTCTTACCTAGTCGATTTTTTTGTTCCCTACTATTTCGACCCTCGAATTTCTTCTTCCTTTCAATCACGGACCCTTTTATCCATCGCCCACGGCCTCCATGCCTAGTCGCGCGCCCTGTCCCGTCGTCGCGCGACCCTCCCCCTGCCCACCGCCTCGTCGCACTGCCTGCCCACCGCCACGTCGCGCGTCCTGCCCATCGTCGATGCGCGCGACCTCCCCGCCGTCGGCGCGCGCGCGCCTTGCCCACCGCCCTCTCCCCGGCCAGCCTTCCCTCCTCGCGGCCGCCCTCCCTTACCCTCTCGTGTGCGTCCTGCCTCACCTCCCATGCAGGCGCCTTCCCCTCCCCTCATGGTGCGCCTTCTTCTACCGCTTTTGCGCCACCTCCTCCTTCTACGCTCACCCCATCCGCTTCTTCACCCTCCTCCTCCTCACTTCTTTTCCTCCTCCCCTTCGTGCCTCTCCTCCCTTCTTCCACCTCCTTCTGTGAGGATCTGGTTCAGGAAAGATAAATCTATAGAATCTTCCACCTGGGTACAAGGCGAGGCTATATATAGGCTCGACACAAAGGCAGTAACCCGGGT